CCTATACTAATTGCGAAAACAAACACAAGACCGAACGATTTTACTCTTAGCGGAAACCATCCTCTCCAGCCAGTGCATGCTCCAGAGAACCCTCAATATGTTCTGAACCCAGGGTGATCATTGCAATGACAAGGACGACCGAATGGATAACATGACAAGACAGGAAAGTAGAGTAAGCTTATGTAATTTAATTAATTCAATAAAACATATAATTCACACAATTCTGAGATATTCAATAGATCAATCATGCAACAACCAATCATACATTTCTAACCATAATCATACAGGAATGCATGCAATGACCAACCACTTTACTGTGACTGTCCGGACTGTATGAGTTTTGTGTAGCTACGACGTTTTTGCACTCGGGTGATGTAATAGCTGGGATGCCTCAACAGTTGTCACCCAAGGTTAGTCCATTCCGCCCAAGTTCACCTTATGGTCTAGGACCTCCTGCTATTCCCACACATGAGTTACTCTTCTCTATGTGAGAATGAGCAATCACGAAATATTAGGATAAACGCCAGCTAAGCTTTGTCCACATTCATACTTTATCATTCCAATACCATTCATGAGATATTCCTCCTTGGAATTCTATTTTAAATCCATATTACTCAATTCATATCACTCTTCAATATCATCATACTTAACTATCAATTCAATCAAACATAATGATAAAATAAAATACTAATCATGAGCAAGATCGAAAGAGGTATTATCATGTTTATTAACGAGACCGAATGGAATAACACTCCTTAGTAACTAACATGACCGAATGCTATTTACCAAATTAACCACTTCATTGACCCGACTCCTAAGAGTTTAAACCGAACATTTTTATCTTACGTCGAACACTGTCGGCTTAGACCGAATACTCTGAGACTGGTGGAGACCGAACAGTTTCTCACTTCCCAAAGGACAGGACCGAACGGTTCATAACAGATAAGACCGAAGGAGTGGCCGTACACTATTTAGGACCAACCACTAAGAGAGACCTCATTAACAGGTAAGGCCCATTAGAGGTCGAACGTAGTTAAAACCGAACACCAATACCAAACCGAGTACCAGTGCAATACCGAGCACTACCAAGACCGAGTGCTAGTACAAGACAAGCACTACTGAGACCGAGCGCTAGTACAGAACAAGCACTACCGAGACCGAGCGCTACTAAGGTCGAACGGTCATGAACCGGGAGGACTCCAAAGAGACCGAACCCTATCAATAACAGAGCGCAGAAAAAGGCCGATCGGCCAAATAAGCGCATGACCGAGCGGTCACAGCGAACCCTAAGTTTTCTGCATAATTTTGCAGAAACTTCTGCAGAGTTATGAACACATCAAATTTTACCAAAACTAAACATGTTCCCCAACTTTTAATCCTCCAAACATGAATCATACACATCTCTACACTAAACTAAGAATACCTAAACCTTTCTAACATCATTTAGAGAGTTTCATCTCAGACTTAAGAGTCAATTCTGCAGAATCATCAACTCAAGGATCGAAAATCAGATTTCCTACTTTTTGTACAGTTTTGAGTAATTCAAAGGCTCTAACCAGTTCTAAACAACTTGTCCAATATCTCTCTACAGAGCAAACTACCTTGAACACAAATTCCCCAATTTTTATCATTTTACTGCCTCACAATTCTCTCGGTAAAACTCCCAGAATTCTATAGAACTGAAAACAACATAACCATAGCATTCAACAGCCCACACGAACATTTCCGAACACACAACATTCAACTTTTACATACATGCAGTATCATCAACCAACAATTTTCATACATCATAAATCAATCAATTAAATGAATTAGCTTCCCTTACCTCAAAGCAACTTGACAGATTAAAACTTCTCCACAGTTTTGCTAAACCGCAAGTGATTCCAAGACAATCTATAGATTTTGGATCGGTGAAAGGAAACCGACCACCGAACCAGAAACATAAACATAATCAGAATGAAAGGCTGATGAACACATGCAAGACCGCACAAGGCTTGCATGTGACAGGAAATGCAGGATTTTTCAAAAAGACAAAGGAATTGAACTTACCCGCTCAAAACAACAACTTGATCGGTGCAAAGGAAAGCTCTTGACACTAGGCAGGCTCAACCACGGTCTGATTGATGATCGATGAAGAAGAAATGTGAATTTCTAGAGAGAAGAGAGAAAAAAGGTAGATGATTCTGTTTTAGAGAAATACAGAGTCTAAAAATAATGAGACCATCTTTGTTTAAATTTTCTATTTATATGCTCATGCAACACTTGGTCTCTTTATTTTGAGACATCTGTCTCTCTCATAACACTAAATTTATGAGCTCTTACATTATGTAACATTTTTTTAATTAAGATAATAAAAATTATTTGTAAATTGTGATGATGTTTCAAATTAATCACAAAACATACGACAAAAATGTGAGTAAAATAATTTAACAAAATAACAAATACATTACTGAATTAACAAAAAATTAACTAACACAAACTTTGATGAAAAAAATACTCAATTAAAAATACTCATATAATATGTATTTTTTTTTCTTTTTGAAGAAATATATCATATAAATTTTCATCGAGTTATAATATAAAATTCAGATATTATAATTTCAAATTGTTTATATATATATATATATAGGGGTTTGCTAACGCGCGTACGCCTGTTTTTCAGTTGGTACATTTTAGTAATGTGTACCGGATTTTAGTAGACAAAAATATCCTTATATACCATGGATTCTAAGTTCTAAGGTTAAGGGTATTACTCACCTCTCTCATTCCTCTCAACCATTTCTCTTTCATCTTTCTCACTCCAATATTTTCTCTGTCATCCCTACTGTAGCCCCAATTGAAAAAATCAGAAACACCCTACTGTAGCCCCAATTGAAAAAATCAAAAACACTTGCCGTTAAACAATCTTACAAAAAAATGACTTTATAATGAGTTTTGATATTATAATTTTTGTCTTATCTAATTTTATCTAATTTTCACAAGCATAAAGAAATTGGTAATTGACCTGGAAAAAATCAGAAATACTTGTTGTTAAACAATTTCTTACAAAAAATGATTTTATAATGAGTTTTTATTTTATAATTTTTGTCTTATCTAATTTTATCTAATTTTCACAAGCATAATGACATCCGAAAGAATTGGTAATTGGCCTGGAGGGTTTTTTTTAGAGATGATGATTCAACGTGATGAAATTAGAGAAATTAGTCAAGATGGTGAAATTAAAGAGATCTTAAATGAACCTTTGCCTCAAAATATGTCAATGACTCAATTCACTGAAGATTTTAATCTCTGTAAAAGTTTTAATACAATTACTTAATTTGTTAATTTGTATTTAATGACAACTTATTACTCAATGACGAAAAATGTCTTAAAGAATTTGAATTTAAAATTTATTTATTTTGTGAAATCAAAAGTATATTAATTCATTTATTATTAACTTTCTTAGTTTTGTTCCACTTAAAGAATACATTATTTTTATTTCTGTTATTTTGATTGTGTTTGCTTCTATTGTTGATCTATTACGATGTTGAAAACTTGTGAATTTAATTTACACCCACAACATTATTTTTTCTTAACTCGAGAGACTTTATATTTTTTTATTGGATAGTTTTATTTCATAAAAAAAATTAAAACTAAAAAGAAGTAGACTTGTTTTCTGTATATTTAATAACAAGAATAAACAAATAAAATAACTATCTACTTTTATTTAAATGTAAACTTGACTATTTCCATTAGAAATAAAAGGTAAATTTCAGTAGGTTGGTCATAGAGTCACATAAATGATTATGTGAATTACATATATCTCAACGAATTGATTTTTCAAAATTTATTTATCCGTTAATCTAATATCTGGTAAAATAAAATCAGGTCTTCTAATCGGATTTAAATCAATTCATAGATCTAGTTGTAAATGGGGCCCACTTAATCATTCAACTATGCGGTGTGCGCACGAGGACGGTGCCTCTCTTCAATTGTAATCCATCAACCATATCAAATCATGGCCGTCCAAATAATTCGTTACAACAGTAGGACCCACGTGCTTCCTTAGCCTCACCCTCCACGTCACAGTCACCACCCAGTCAAAAACCCAATTGGAATACAAAATCCTGGGACCCACCTTCTTTAACGTCTCACCCGCGTGTCGATCTAGCATTTCCCAATACCAAATTTACCACTATAGCCTTATCACCAGCAGCTCCCACTTACTGCTAGTGCGTGTGCCACTTATGGGGATCTGCCACATGTCGGAGGTGACACTGACCGTGGCTATGTTGGGGTGGCGATAACTCAACGCAAGAACCCTTCTCAATCCCATCGATACGATTCAACGGTCCAGATCCATTGATGAAAACCACATCATGATGGATGGCTCTTGCTTTGTTCACGCGCAAGCCTGTCGTGGACTCACTGGGCCACAGTTGCCGGCGGCTCTAACCCACTCGCCTGGCTGGGCTCACCCAACTCATCAAGCTTCGATCTACGATCTACGATCTATGTCGGTCATGTCCCTTTCTTAAAATACATGTTTTTTTTTTTTTTTAATTTTCAAGAGAATAAAGTAAAACAAAACAGTGATGAGGTCATTTTGGATGATATTCTATTAATCTGATAATTAAGTTAACAGAGTCATTCCAACATCGCAAACATTCAAAAGAAAAAATAAAAAAAGAGTGTTGAGGTGATTCGATAGTCACATGTTTATTAGTTTATAACCACACAGGGAATATATGTTCTTATGGTTAATTCTTCCCTCGATATTCTTGTTTGTCTCTTTACCAGTTTTTTTATTACATCATTGTTGTACTTGTATTTAATTGTACAGTTCTTGTACCAGATGTTGAATCAAACCAACTAAAATTTATTGTTTGTTGTCCGTTTGTTTTGAACTTATTGACCAACGAGACAAGGGTAGTTATTCACAATAGTCATCTGTGTATTTTTCTAAGGATGATTTGTCATTGATGATAGGGATCTTGCACCTAAAGCACACCGTTTTAATGAGTGTTATACATGATATGTATGAAGAAGAAGAAGAAAAGATGAGTGTAAAAAGAAAAAGTTGTTATTTAACTTGTTAGTTAAGTTTGGTTAAGTGGATTCGGGAATATAGCAGAAGAGTGATGGAAATCTTTGGAGCAGTGTGCAGAAGAGAAGAGACTGTGCACTTTCCCTTTCTATCTGAAGGCTGCGGAGTGAGAGGTAGTTATCATTCACGCGTCACATTCACGTTAGGTCATCTCATATCTCTATAATCTCTATAATCTCTATAATCTCATCAACATTTTCAAACTCACTCTTCAAATATCCTTACTTTCCCTAATTTCTCGAATCTTGTTAGCTATCTGCTTAGCCCAGTTAAATCAGTGCCTATTTTTTCAGCCAGTTTCCTCCCTCCACAAGCCAACTTCCTCAATCACCTCACAAATCAATCTCTCTGCCTTTCCACTCATCCATCACACCCTTGTAGCTTTCTGTCCCTTTGAGCTTTTCTTTTCTTTATCTTCAAACACACAACAACTTCGTCCTGGATTTCGTTCGCTTCTGCATACAAAAGGTTGTTTCTTCACCTTCATTTATTACGATTTTGGTCGGTTCTCTACTTCAGCCCAAACCAACCCTTCTCATCCTTTCAAAAAAAATCCCACCTTTTTGTCTTCTTTCTACTTTCCCCTCACTTCTTCTGAGATCTTAAACAAAAGGTGCTTCCAAAGTGAAGTCCTTTTTCGAATACGAGAATGCAGGATCCAGCGTTGTTCCAGCCCTTGAAACCCCACTTTCCCGAACAAGAGCAGCTTAAGTGTCCGCGTTGCGATTCCGTCAACACCAAGTTCTGTTACTACAACAACTACAACCTCTCGCAGCCGCGCCATTTTTGCAAGAATTGCAGAAGGTATTGGACCAAAGGAGGTGCTTTGAGAAACATCCCCGTCGGGGGTGGAAGCAGAAAGAACGCCAAACGATCATCCTCATCCGCCAACACCAAACGCGCTTCCCCGTCACCTGCTCCAGAACCCGACCCGACTCGTGTTTGCCCTAGCCCGGTTGTTGGTGGTGGTGGGAATTTCGGTTCCCTTTTGGCATCGGGTGCTCATTTGGGGAACCTCTTGGTGGGTCTGAAATCAAGTGGGGCGAATCTAAAAGCTGTGCAAATGGAAGAATTTGGGGAGGATGTTAGTTCGGGTCACCTGGTGGATCCGGGTTCTGGTCGGAACCCTGTGCTGGAGATTGAAAGGAATGGGAATGCAGCAAGTTTTCTGAGTATGCAAAATGGTGATTCAAGCTGTTGGAATGGTACTAATGGGTGGTCTAACCTTGCAATTTTCACTCCTGGGCCTAGCTATGAAAATTTATGAATATTCTGATATATATGTATATTTAAACATGTTGTGAAAAGATTTATATATATCAGTAGCTTAAGTTAAAGTCTTTGGGATATCGGTATATCATATATATCGTGCTATGGAGATCACAAACGAGTAAGCCACTGCAATAGGATCGATTTTAAAGTTTCTTTTGTGTTGGATTTTTATGTTTGTGGATGGTGGTGTTCTTCACTTTTACCAATGATGGAAGAAAGAAAGACAGCATGTATTTTCTTAGATATGAATGTTGTTGTAGTGAGATTGTTTTCAATGTCATCACGTAGAAGTGCTGCCAATGCCATGACTTGGAGATTCTAATTTATTTACCGTATCTGTGTATTTTACATGCGCAATTTGTTGTATGCTGTTTTCAATAATAGCTTTTTGAAAAACCTATGGCTGTTTGTATGCTTGTGTCCTACTCGGCTAGCTACTTGCCCATTTAATATTTTTTGGTAATGGAGGTTGATTTCATTGAATCTGGTTGGAGGTACAGAACTGCACTATATATAATTATATATACATTTTCAATGGAGGGTTGACGAGGCTCAAAGGAAATAACCATTAATGCACATTTTTTAAAAAATTTATTTGAGTTTTCAACTTGGCAATTGGTTTTCCACTTTGCATCCACATCCTCGCAAACTCAGTTTCTGTAAATGAATCTCTACCACGGAAATGTTGGATATATTGATGTTGGTTCTAGATATGTATTATGACATGGAACAACGCATCACAGTCTACCTTCGAATAGTTGTGCGGTCGTCTTAAATTGACTTCAAAGGGAACTGTTGTGGACCCACTCTAGTTCAATTTGACCAGGTCCAATCATGGGTAAATATGTTTTCTTCCTTCTTAACTTCTTTACTTATAGTAGAAGTTATAATTAAACTTTATAGATTAATTTACTCCTTTAATTTTTAAATGGTCAGAATTTAATTATTTTAAATAAATTTTATTAAGTTTATTTGAGGTTTAATGGTGTTTATTAACTAATATCAGGACAAATAATTTAAATGTTATTATAAAATATGTTTAAAATATAAAATAAATTGAGTGAAATTTGGTTAAAATGATTCAATTTATATATTTTAAAGTTAAAAAACTAAATTGAATCATAGATTTCAAAAACAACTTAATTTAGAGTTAAGGAATAAAAATGTATTGTATGGCCACCGGAACGACTGGATGAGATCATCAAGGAGGGACGATCGGTCCCAACAAGTTGCGGTCAACAGTGTGATGTATCGTCCAACCAAAATAAATAAGTATTGCTTATTAACTGACCGCACGATCATGGAGATGAGAGACGACTTCCATGAGTAAAAACCACTAAACATATTTCCAAATCAAGGTTATTAGTAAGAGTTACTCAGTAAGAAACGAGTCATGATTGAGCCGTGATTAATATTTCACTACTCGCCTATCTTAAAACCTATAAATAAATGTCAAAGGTAAAGATATATGTGATTGCATTTATTACAAATTTAAAATTTTACTATGATTCCTGATCGAATTAACCACAAACTTGAGTGATGAAGTTTCTTTGCCAAGCACACCGGGACGGTTTGGAGCATGCATAGAAAAATATTTTGACCAAAAGTATTCAGAACTACCTAACCAAGGAAAAAAATATGGGGAGTGTTTCGTGGGAATCTTGACCCTACTCCCAAAAAAAAAACATATTTAATTTTTTATTTAAAAGTAGATTGTATTTTAAGGTGACTTTGATGCAACTGAAATCCCAATTCTAATAAGAGAATTGGATTGAAAGTACTTAAGAAAATGGCTATAAATTTATATATTTTTATGTTCCTCTCTCGTGTTAAACTTAAAATGAGATATGGC